CCCTGATAACGTGCCTAATAGGAATAGTTCCGGTTTTAACTCTATTTGCTGTTTTACCATTTCCTCTAACCATTTTTTAATCCTTGTCTAATAGCAATAGCAATAGCAGTTAGACTTATATACCGCTTCATAGGGCTTTCAGCCCTCTCTAAGCGGTTTACAGAGTCAGCATATCGCCCCCACAGTCTGGGTCCTCATTTCACCCACTTCGGAAGGATGGAAGGCTGAGTCAACCCTGAGCCGGTGAGATTTGAACCGCTGAACTGCAGATAACAGTCAGCTGTCGTGGCCTTCAGTACTGCACCCTAACCACTGCGCCACCTCGGCTCTAATATTTTTTTCCCTGCGGAATAGGTCCATCATGTAACATGTAACATGTTTTGTATATACCATATCATTGGGTTATAGCCTTTCTCTGAAATTGCAAAGAAAATGTTCAGTATTCAAGTGTTGTTGTAGGATTCTCACAATCAAGGAAGTACAACTTATCAGCGCCAAAGCACATTGTATTTAGCAATCTGTCTGTAATTGCGGAGACAATTACATCGGGAGAACTGATGGGTGCCTCAGAATGAAGAAACATCTTTCGAAACGGATCCAGACAGTATTGAGTAATCCAACAGCAAATAATGGCCATAACATGCCTTCTTCTGCTATCATGAGACATATACTACCGCGTTTCCCTGAAAATAAGACAGGGTCTTATTTTCTTTTGACCCCTGGAATAAGCACTTGGCCTTATTTTCGGGGAGGTCTTATTATTTTTGAGGTGCAGGAGGCAGTGAGCGTGGTAACCTCATGGCTGCTGCTATATTGCAATATTTTCTGGAAGGGCTTATTTTTGGGGAGGGCTTATTTTAGCCCATGCGCTCAAAAGCCCAATTGGGCTTATTATCCAGGGAGGTCTTATTTTCAGGGAAAACAAGGTAGCTACGGGTCACCAAGTTGATCCAAATACCATGTTCATGGTTTTATGGCATCACAGAAACTCTCATTTTCTGCGGTTCACCAAAGCAGTTCCCATCAACCGGTTGAAGCTTCCCTTAGGTGTGCAGAAACAACTGTATGTCAATCTGCACCTTCCGTGGGCTTAAAGTTTCATCAGTGGTTGGTGTTCGCACACATTATATGTCTAAGCAACGTTCTCCCTGGACTTTATCCTCTATGTTGATTTTTAACTGTGTTATTGTACATTTGGTACTGACGAGTCAATATGAAATGCTTGCATCTACCGCTGTTCGCCTTTGAACTGCCTTGTTCAAATTGTTCATTGTTTAAGACTTATACATAAGTGTATAAGTCTTAAAGTTGCCAATATTGTATGTTCTAGATCTATGACTTCAACTGGTTTAACACTATTACTGAAAATTGGATTGGAAACGTATAACTGGCTACTGCAAACTATTTAATGTCATGGATTGTTATATGCCGTTTTCGACTCATATCTGTCCATGATTAAATGGGTCCGATTGGATCCTAAACCACTTTCAAAGGCAATCTCTGACAGAATTCAATAATATTAAAGGGAAAATTGTATTTAGAAGAAATATCCCATTTTCATCCAGTAAAAAATGAAAGCTGCATTTATTCCTATTTCATAAAATTTCGTAATCTTCATTGAAATCTCTGACCTTATCAAAGCATCTTAAAATGGTAAAGGCATCCTTATTGCTTTGGATTAATTAAGCAATTGAAATACTGTAAAGTACTATTTTAAAATAGTCTACAAATGCAGATTTTCTTTTTGCCCCCAGATGCTTATTTGGCCAGATTTGTCTAACAGAGTCATCTCTAGCACAATGTCTTCGAGATACACTGATAAGACAACACTCAGAAAACTAATTCGTATCAAGAAGGAAAGTTTCATTGTAAACAATGGAAAACTTGTACTAATTCTCATACTTTAATCTGCAAGACAGCTATTGTGATAAGAATTTGAAGATATTATTTCACAAGTCAGTGTGGGAAGATTTAATATTGTTACTGGAATGGCTGCATTTTATAGCATTTCCTGTTGTTTTTTACATAAACTAATTCCATGTGTTCATCTTTAATAGACTGAATTTCCTGTCCTGGATAACTTAGCTTAAAAAAAGATAACTTTTTTCTTATAAACCTAGACAAAAGAGAACAAGATGCCTAATCTACCCCCAATTCAATTCACTGAGAGAGAGAGAGAGAGAGGGAGGGAGAGAGAGAGAGAGAGAGAGAGAGAGAGAAATTGGTTGGAAGCTAATTCATTATCTATATGAAAAGACCAGTGCCACCCCCATTTTGCTAGGTAACATTAGAAACCATTCATTTGCTGAAATTCTTGTAACCTCTTGTAAAATTCTTGTAAGAGAGAGGGAGAGAGAGAGAGAGAGAGAGAGAGAGAGAGAGAAGGGGAGAGGGAGGGAGGGAGGGAGAGAGAGAGAGAAGGGGAGAGGGAGAGAGGGAGGGAGAGAGAGAGAGAGAGAGAATGGATTTCGATTGTTTGATCATCTATTGGGTGGAGGATAAGAGTGATGAAATTAATTTTTCATTTTCATCCGCAGAACTGAGCAGCTATTAATACTTCACAAAAGCCTTTTATTTTAAAGCTTGCAATTCCTGAATTGTGACATATATGTATCTTAATAACTCCATCTCCCTTTCTTTAGTAAAATCCTTTTTTTTTTAGAACTAGCAATACCAATAGCAGTTAGACAGCCCTCTCTAAGCGGTTTAAATAGTCAGCCTATTTCCCCCAACAATCTGGGTCCTCATTTTACCCACGTTGGAAGGATGGAAGGCTAAGTCAACCTTGAGCCGGTAAGACTCGAACTGCCAAATTACAGGCAGATAACGGTCAGCAGAAGTAGCCTGCAGTACTGCATTCTAACCACTGCGCCAGCGCAGCTCAGAAGAACAAGGTAGAAACATTTATAATTTGGGGTTCCATTTTAGGGCAAAAATGTTTGGTTGAGGATCTGATCTTCACCCTTCCTTCACTTACAAAAAACCACTGGGATTGTCAGACAAGATTTGGGTTTTATTGTTTCATAGCTATAATAAATAAGACCGGATTCACTCATAGTTAAATGGAGCAACTTTCAAACGTGGTAAACGAAAGAGAATTATTAACCAATATGAGTCATGATAGCTGCAGCACTTAAGAAAAATGCTTCCTGGGATGGGATACATATTGAATATCGTTGCTTGCTGTTAACAAGTTTCAGATACAGGATTAAACCAATTTTATATAAAATGGACAAAGAGAGAGGAAGATTGTGAGACCAATTAAAAACTGTCTTTCTTATTATCCTATAATTACAAACCTATGCATGGGGAATGATCATCAACCACGTTATACTAGCTTTACTAACATCTGGCCACTATTGAGCAATTTTCCCTGGTAATTAAAAAAAACCACCAGGCATTCCTATACAGAGCCAGTCTAAAACTCACTTTTAAACATGACACATTACTGTTTATTATGCTTCCATATGCTCTGCTGCAATGGCATAGCCATAATCATAAAACTTTGCTTTTTTTTTCTTGCTTCAACATACCATAGCGATAGCAATTACACTTGAGGGTTTATGCATATGCCACAATGTTTTCCATGTCATTTAATGAATAACATCTGTTTGTTATATACAGTCTTGGTTTTCTGTGGGTCTCTATTTATTTTTTAAGCTGCCAAAGTCAGAGGGGAAACCAGGAATCGAATTCGCCCTAGTTAACATTTCTAACGTATTGTATGGATAAATCGTATTTTTATAAATATATACGTTTATTCATTCCCAGGGAAAAAAAATCTGGAAATATGCAATGGGAATGGCCATGTACCACAAAGCATTTTATTGTTTATCTTGGTATTGCTGAAAACGGGTCATTGCACCACGCACTGTCTGGTGGAAACATAAGCATTGGGAAAGCACTGAAATAAATATTTTTTTAAATAATTTTTTTTTATTTTTAATTTTCAAAACAAACACAACACATCCCTCTTCACATACTGTAGAAAGTGTATCAGTTGGTTACAAAAAGACTTCCGTGCATCTCCTCCACAGTCAACAAACATAATTCATATTAACTCAAGTATTTTAACTCAGATGTTTATACATGTCACCATCATCATATCTTCATTTTCATTTTATTATTTATCTATCTATCTATCTATCTATC